GCTCTGTGAAGGGCTAATTATCAAAATGACTGAATTCACTCAGAGAAGCTGTCCAAACGCCCACCCAGCAGCCCAGCCTGTCGTCACAACCTCTGCCAATTTAATGTTTGGTTGGACTTCATATTGTTTTCAAGGTGACCCTCACACGTGTGACTGTGAGAGCTCAGACTGTGTGCATGTTCAAGATGATGGCAGTTTGACTCTCTGGGATTGTGGTATTCAATCTGCTGACTGGATTAAGGGATGGATGTGCAATTAAAATAAGAACAAGTAAACAGATTGGCTTCACCATAGAGTTGGAGTCTGCTGTTATTAATGATTAATCATTAATCATTCTCAGTATTTTGTATGCTCAGCATATGCTTTGTATTTTGAGTCATACAAAAGCTGTTTGGACAGTTGAACACAGATATATTAATGTGTGCTTTGCAGAGGATAGAGCTCTAATAAATGCCTTGGTACTGCAGACTATAATTTCTGTCCCTGTAAAAAGCGCTAACCAAGAGTTTTTCACTTCTCTTAATTATACAAATACACTGGTTAGAGAACTGTTATCATCTGTTGGTTTCTCAGGGGCTAGTTTATTTAAAACGTTCAGGATTATTGAGCATAGAATCCATACAATATGTGTGTGTCACATTTGGTTTTCCTTACCAATAAGTGTAGGAGTTTTGGTTTTTCTCTGTGATTAATGGAAACAAATTCTGGTTCTTTTTGTTCAGATGTTCTTAGCTTGCTTTCATTCTGAACTGAGGTTGTGGGCCTGGTCCTGGGTTGCCCTTATACAGTTCGTCTGCTGTGGATGAGAGCTGGTTTGTCAGTTCTGTCTGATAGATGTTTAGATTTTGAGGTGTCCTGTACTGCCTCAAGTGTTGCAGCTCCTGTAATTAGTTCTGCTTCAGGAAAATCAGGTCACTAATTAGCAAGTGGCTAGATTTGTTGTATGCGTCCATTTTTGTCCCTCTTGATATCCCTGATTACCTACCATGACATGTTTTCAGGGACCTTCAGAGACAGATGGAAAATCAGGAACTGCCTTGTGCTGACAAGGCATGGCAGGTAGGCTGCTTCAGATGTTACACTTACAACATAATTTAACAACACTATTAATATTTAATGAATCTGCCTGTTTGTACAAAACAAGTAACACAACCAGTGATAAATCAGTGGATACTGGTGTTCCACTGATTTAGCCAAAATTAGTGACCATTTTGTTACAGTTTGCCACTTGAAGATTTAATCTAAATCTAAAATTACTGTACCACAAAAATGACTTTCAAAAAGTGTAAATTTATAAATGTGATAAATTATTGAAGCAAAGAAAATTATCTACCATTGATTTAAGATAGTCTGATAACATGTAAAACCTGTAAAAAATTCCTTAATGAGAAGTTTGATTGCACAGATATACGTTTTTGATATAATACTACAATCAAGCTGATTACATTTGAAATTAGTGCTGGGAAATATGGCCAAAAATCTTACCTCAATATATTTCTCTTTATCGACTGACAGCATTATTAGTGTTAGGTTTATGTCAGTTTTGTAATGCTCGGTTTTAAGTTTAAAAATAGTATGTTGAGTCCTGATTAAAAAGACTTACTATTTAAGAAAAAACAGCATATAAAACTAAAAGTAAATAAGTATAAATAAATATATTTCACTTTAGTTAACAAAAACAGTAATAAATTAAGTGAACTATGGATAATCAGTCATAAATACTGTCATCCAGTATGGTCTAGGCCAGTGCAGTCAGTGCAACTTTGTTTTGTCACTTTAATTTAGTGATTTTTAAATTGACTTTGTAAAATAGGCTGTAGAGAGACTGTATTGTTCTACCCATGTACACCATTGCCTGGGTTTTGTTTCAGTGCACAGTGTGGTATGATTTAGCAGAGCTGCTGTTGCAGCATGTTTGCTCAGTACGTGGGTGCATTTGTGTTGTTTTGAATGAAACAGCTTTATTGATGATTGTAGAGGCTGGGTTTTATGTAGCCTTTCAATTGGATTAAGCATTTTGGATGTCATTCCCGCTGTCACTGCGACAAAGACTGTTGTTGATAGAGATGAGGAGCATGGGATCAAAACTATGAAATGTACAGTACTGGAAATGCACTGTTCAGTGTTTCTGGGGGTGATTCGGTTTTTAGCACCATCAGCGAACAGTTGATATTGATCAAGGGTGGGGTTGGATGCCTCATTCAGAGGTGCAGTAAGCAAGTATGGAGAACGATTGCTGATGAAATCAACAGCAAAACAAGTACACCCCTCCCTTCAGTGCTCCTTCGGAACCCAGTGCCGTGGCCATAAAACCCTTCGCAAACAGTTTACAAACTGTCACTACAATTGCTACTGCAAAGCTAGCCAGTTGGGATTAGCTGTCACAAACATTAGCAAATGGGACAAAACAATACTGATCTGCTGATTCTGTGAAACAGTAAAAATAAGTTAATGTTATTTTTGCCAGCCTCTTGTACGAATTTTCCCATTCCATCTTAAATGATCCAGCCTTTACATTCTAGCGCTTCAGGCTAGCATAGCCATTGAAATAACCGGAGCCTACGCAACTGAAGCAGCTAAAAGGATGAAACAATCCTCCTGCTTCACGGATGGGTTTTTAAAGATAATGAAAAGGCTATAAGGGCTGACATATAATCACTTTTGTAGTTCTGCATCTTATTTTTTATTTTCAGCCCCTGCCAAAGATGTTGGTCATAAAGCTAGTGTGGTGTAAGCTAAGCTAAGATTAACCGCATTATTGCTCTGCATGTTTGCATAGCAAGCTTACAGTGACATAGGAGCCAAATGTGTATTATACTTCAGGAAAAGTGTTTTTCATTAGATATGATGGCAGAAGTTGGCTTTTTGTTCAAACTTTGCCACTTCACCTTACAAGGTGCAGCAGTTACATTCTGGCACCTCAGGTGAAATTATTATTTATTATGATCATATGTTTTACATCACTGATCAGCTCTCAGGATCACCTAAGTTAAAGAGATGTCAGCTAATCGCATATTTGGGCTGAAAATCGGCTGATATGCATACAAAGCCTTCCATTTCTATACTTCACTTACAGTTGTACAGAAGCTCTTCTCCACTGCGACACTATTCGATCCAAGGTAACTAATGTCACATAGCTAGCTAATACACTTCATTTAGAATTAGCTAGATTTGAACGATTTAACTTTATTTTATATTAACAACTACATAATTGTAAGTAGATTACTCAGCATGGTATCAGAATTGGTATCGTACTTGTACTCGGTCTGAAAAAAATGGTATTGATACATCACACATAAGTGTGACACAGTTACAGCATTGCCATTATAATGCTTTAGTACTGCAGCAGTTTTGATTTGTGCAGTTTATACAGGCTCTTTGTGTAAATGTGCATGTGTGTTCTAGGTTCCTAAATAAATAAATTAGACATGGTGTGGTATGTAAAAATAAATTTAAAAAGAGTGAAAAGAGAATCTGTTTTTACAGCATGCGCTGACCATAGCTTTTAAAATCTTCCTCCACCCACTTGGTGCTGAATGTGTAAGTCTGGGCCTATGGTGGTTTGCTGGTGTGTGATGGGGAGTGATATTTTAAGCTGTTATTTTTCTACACCATTGAATGATGCATGGGCACATTTCACCCTCTCTGTGAGACTGCAGCTCAATAGTTTTTGGAGAGGCAGTACGTCAAGAGGGCCTGATTGATTTTGCTCCTTTTAAAACCTGCCGGGAACAACCTTCTAGGAAGTCTGGCTGTAGGCAAATGTAGCACTAAGTGCTAATCTTGAATCACTCTCTATCTGACTTCTTTTTACCAACTATTACAATGGAAAAATGCACAATCTGGTTGTAGATAAGCAAGTAATGATCACATTCATGGTTTGAGTGGTGCCTAATGTCAACATCCCTAATCTAGGCCAGGTCTAGGCATCCCTATTCTATCTAGACTATCATATGGTTTCTTTCACCATGGGTAAGCGTATACTTGAAGTACATTTTCATGATACTGAAGCATACTGGCAAAGAAGGAGACACAGGAGAGGCCACCTGCAAACACCTTAAAAACAACTTGAGACCTGCTGAAAAGGACTTTTGGGGGAGTGCTAATTAGCGGGTGGAATTGGACACATCTAAATTGGAGAGAAAACTGGGAAACAAAGATGTTTTAGAAAAAAAAAAAGGTACACCAAACCCACTTTTCTTACACAGGAGAGGGATTCGCCAAACATTTCATTTGGCGCACAAAGAAGTTTTAAGCATTGTGTGTATCTGAAGTCCTCTAGCAAGTTTTCTTCCTCTTTGTTTACTGCTACAACAGCAGTTACAAGGTTTCACAAGTAAAACTACTGCCAGAGTGGTTCAGGCTTTTTTTTTTTTTTAAATGAGGTAAAAGCACAGCAACACCTTACATCATAAAATACCTTGGTAGACCTTGTTTATGAATGATCAAACATGTTACTGCAACACTGTTTGTTGTTAAAGTCTCAGTAAATCTGCTGGTGCAATTTATGAATCTGGCTCTCTGTGTTTTGGGCCTTAGCCAAGACCCTCATAAGCATGTGCTGTTACAAAAAACATGGAAACATCATGGAAGACACTTTGAACACTCTACTGCAGGGGGATCTTAATGTTATCATGTTTTTAGAAAACTTTGTCCTGTCTGGTCTTTGACTCAACAGTGTAAAAGTCCTTTAATAATGTTATAAAACTCTGAAACCAACTAATCAGACTCTAAACAGTACTATAGGGCGACTCTAGCTTTGTTTAGTCAAATTACTTGTATTAAATAATTTATTTGTTATTGTTTGTTCTGTTTGTTGTTGTTGTTTGTTTGTTTGTTGTGGTTGTTATTTGTGTTCACATGAAGTCTAGTGTCACAACATGGTGTAATCACTGGTGTTCACCTGTTCTTGTCTCACGTCCCTGGCCTTTTTCTTCTCTCTTTCTCTCTTTCTTTGTTTGTTTCTTTCTTTCTCTCACTTTATCGTTAATTTTGTAAAGGTTAGTCCAGTGGCACCGGAGGATGAGAGCAAACTATCGGTAGGTCCAGTCTATGTCTACGTCTGCATGTTGATGTGTTTGTTTGTAGGTGTTTCTTTTATGTGTAAGGTAGGTGAAATCTCCTTGACTGCTTGACCAAAAGATCTCATTATCTGATTCCAGTGTTAAGCTCTACCACACTTACTTTAACTATGCAGAGGTCTATGTTTTGGAGTGGGGAAAGCAGAACTGTTTCTGTGGCCAACAAGGCCTAATGGACTTAAGAATGCGTAGTACAAAAAATAAAAGGTGAGGCTGAATCATTCAAAGCTACAGCACTTTCCATAGACAACATCCTTTCTGCGTCTGTGGCAATGCTGGGGTAATACTGTTTGCTCAGTGTAAATGTAAGAATATTACCTGGACAAATAGCAGTGGAGAGGGGTGAGTGGGTTTGTGGTGTTGATCAGCAAATTAGCATTTCTGAGTTAAAACTATTTTGTTTTCTGCCTTTGTGTGATGCAAAGATGAAGTCAGTTTCAAACCTCAGTGACACTCAGTTTCTGAGCTAATCTAGACTTTCTTTATATTCATATACCGTTTATAGTAATTTGTCTACAAAAAGGGAAACTTTGAAGAACTCAAAATGGCTGGTTCGTCAAAACAAGGGAGAGAAGTTTTTTTGAAGGAGTTGGAACTGGGACTTTTTACACTCCAAGCACAATTTATTCAGATGTCAGTAATTGAAACATATGTGTAACTGATTATATCAGTTGTACACCCCAAATGATATTTATGGTGAAGATGGGACATTATTCGCTTTCTCTGTAATTTATGTGAACTTTTGTAGGCAACATTAACCAACTCACCCAATTATGGTTGTTTATAGTGTTGGCATAGCAACACCCAAGACTCTGTCCCAGCAACCCTTTATTTCTGACAAATGTGAAACAGTTTGTCTTTGTCTCATCATGTGTGGGACTGGCATTTCCAAAAGCAGCTCAAGGTTACAGACATCTGAGACTATATGTGAAATTATAAAGCACATTACGAAGTTTAGTCTTACGACGAAGGGGTGAAACTCCTCATGCTCTTTTGTCTTTTTCAACAACCAAATCAAAGTTTGCACTTTTTGGTGAGGAGCAGACAGGATCTTTGCCAATTGAAGAAGACTTTGTTCTTTTTTTCATTATTCATTGTTCTTTTTTGGGGGGAGGTTGTGTAAACCTATTGAACATCACAACAAACTCCCAAGAAGATCATACCAGTATGCAGAAAAATAGTTTTGACCACATTTTGCAACATATATTTTCGTTGCATTTACCTACCGTCATACCCCCAAAATGCCCTTGTTTGTCAAAACCTCATAATGCTTTCATTTGAACCAGTCTAAACACACGAGTTGTAGACAAACATGATGGAAATGTTCTAAGAAGTGCAGCCAGTGCCACACAAAGCCTACCCACAAACACACACACCTGCATAAGCCTTTGCAGCTGACTCCTCCAGATTGCGCTGACGTGTTGCCATGGTGTTGAGTTGAAAGGTGCCCTTAACTCAGCCTGGAAGGCAGAGCTGTTTTGCACAGAGCAGCTGGCCTCAAGCCCTGCCCCTAACCTCAACCCCCTAACCTCTACCCCCTAATCCTAACAGGGTTCAGAATTTATTTAGTATGGAATGTTCAGAAGGTTCACAATTTTATGTGATAGAGTACAACACTGTTTCTACACTGTTTGTTTTGTCACAGCATAGAGCGTTATTATTGACTCACCTCTTCTCTCATCATAGGCCAAGCCCCGGCTGCAGAGAGGGGGCAGTTCAGCCTCCCTGCACAACAGCCTGATGAGAAACAGCATCTTCCAGCTAATGATCCACACACTAGATCCGCTTAGCGAAGGTAATACACACTCTCGCACACATACACACGAGCATGTGTACACCACTCAAACAAACACACGTTTGCTACCACAGCATTGGATGAGCACAGTATGATCAAACTTAAAATATAAGATGAGCACATTTCACTTATTTGAACACACTATAAGTGCCCATCTGAGGTGCCGAATTCAATAAAAAATGTCATTAAATACCTTTGGTAATATTAACATTATCGTAAAAAGGGGATGTAGCATATGGATGAGTTTATGTGCGTTTACTGACATTTTAATTTGCCTTTTAATGTCTCATCTTGATTATTTTTATTTATTTAAATTTTTTGGTATTTTAATTTTTTAATTAATATTTATATTAATTTTAATTTTATGTGCATATGTTGTAATATACCATGTGTACCATTCAGTGGGGGAGTCCTTGAGTAGGTCATTGTAGAAATGTCAGATATGCATGTAAACATTTAGCTTATAGATTTTTATTAATTGTACATTTTGTATGTAAATGATTTTTATGATACTGTGCATTCTCACATAGTACAGTTATGTAAGTATTGTTGGCAGTACTTGGGGAGATTAGATATTGTACTATGATTACTATGATTTCTGTGGTTTCCCGTTTGTAGTAGTGGATTAAATAGTAATTAAAAAGGGGTTCTATTTTGTAATGTAATGCAAAAGAAAGTTACATTTTAAAAACAATTGTTTAATTGAACTCACTAAGACACATGTGCCACAAGTTGCATTTGCAATCTGAAATCTAAGTAAGTCGCTTTTGATTTTGATTCATTTTCAGGGATTCTTGACAAAGTTTTTGTTTTTTATTTGTGCCAGTCAAATATAGAGCCATAGGAAATGTTATACATGTTCCTTTAAGCATTGTAATCAAGTTGAATCAGTGTTTTCTCAGGATACTGAGACACCAGATTTTAATAATTTTTCATGAGGAAACCCAAAAAAATGTTTTATATATATATATATATATATATATATATATATATATATATATATATATATATATATATATATATATATATATATATATAAAACATTTTTTAAAACACATGGGTCATTCTACAAAACTTGTGCCATTTCCACTTTGCAATTAAAAAAATATATTTTTATTACAAACATGTTTTAATCCACAACATGAAAGATATGTTAATTCTCCAAAAAGCATATTTTCCCACCTCAGGCATTAATTCCTTGTACCACCCTGTCACAGACAATATGTACACCATTTGAGTAGTAATACAGGAAATAAAATTTTAAAATCTAATGTTTTCCTACTAGTAAAATGTCCTTTTTTTTTGGAAACCAAACCATTGGAAAGTATTTTTTTTATTTTTAGGTTATTAATCTTGAAATATGAGGCCTCATTGTTTGTACAAAAAATACTAATTCACTTCAAAATTTCAAATAAAAGTTACATTCATTTGATTAGTCAACAGTAATTTTGAGGGCCATTTCACTACCTTTTCATTAATTTTAAGCTGACCCTGTGATGGGGTGGTACGGACACACCGTCTCTCTGTATGATCTGTTGATTTTAGACTTAGATAGTAAGTGGGTGAGTGAAAGCGACAGTCAGTGAGTGAAAGAGATAGTAAAAAACATTTTCCCTGTCTATTTTGTGTAACAGGGTGTGATAGAGTTGAGCTTGACGGACTGCGTCTAACATGAAAAAGCAAATAAACGAAGAATGTCATGTAGAAGAATGTCAGAACCTACCTGCTTTTGTTCCTGGCTGCTCTCAAGGCTTAAATGATGTCACTTACTTTTTGTCAAGTCATTTAAAGCAACATAACATTATTCATAGGCAAAAAACAGTTAGTGTGAAGGGGTGGTAAGTCCAACTGAGGAACGCACACAAATCATAAATTTTTTACACAAAATACTGCTTTTATTTTAAATATATAAACAGGGACACATATACTCCTGAAAATAGTAAAAGTTTGATTAAATTATAACATTTATTTGTGATATTTTAGATGCAAATGTGATGGTGGTCAATACGGACATGTGAAAATGGCCATGTAACTCTTTAAGAATAGTATTTTCTCATATCATCTTAACAAGAACACAAATGATTAGCTTTAAGCTTTGGAAAAAACATGTCTGTGCCTTAAGCATTTCATCAAATGTTTTGGATCCAAATGACACCCATATCGTAGAATGACTCATATATAATGATTTGTCAGCCTGCTGACTAGAACTTATGCTTGTGAATAGCAGGAATTTTCTATTGATCTGAAGGATGTAAAGCCTTTTCCAGACTTTATAGTGTTTGTCGCATATACATATTCTGAAGAGCTGACTGGGAATCAGCAATGTGTTTTCTTTTCTCAATCTCGCTAAACATGCTGTCGCACTTCTGAGCTGAACCATATTCTGCCTGTTTTATATAGTCTTTTTCATCTCTTTCTTCTTCTTTCCCTGTCTCTCTTTATCTTTCTTTCTGTCTGTCTACTATTTCCTCAGAATTTGCTGACTCTGGTGAGTGAGTTATTCTCTAAATCTTGCCATCATAGCCTTTGTCTCCCCTGTCCCAGTCCTGTTTGTCTGACTGCAGATCCAGTGAGGCTTGTACACCTGTTCGTCCTCACTAATAATTGTCAGTAGTAATTTTTGGTTCATTTCCACTTCAAGTTTTGTTTGTCCTTTTTCTCCTTGAGTGTACCTTCTGATCTTTCTGAATGCCATCTGTCTATTTGGGTATGTTTGTGTATGTGTATGATCTCCTTCACCGGCCCTTTCCTGCTTTCTGTGCTGGTTCCTTGTCCTTTTTACTAACGAGTAGACTGCTGGTCCAGTGCTTGGTCGTCTGTTGCTGTAGTACTCGAAGATGGCTGTTCACTACAGCTGTTTTCTCTGACCTTACACTTCAGCTATTCAATATGGCTCTTGGATTAGATTAAATGAGATATACTTCATAATTTATGAAATACACATAAGCTGCTCTGCAGGAGACAGTATTAAATCACTAACTCTGGCTGTGACGACAGAATGAGGACAACTCTTCAATGTAACTATTCACACTGACTGTTCGTAGAGATTTGCTATAGCTGTTTACTCTGATTATTCTCAGATGTTACCTGACAGTTTATGTCCTAGTCTGTCAGTTGACCTCTAAACACGCTCAAGTACTGAACAACGCTGAATGGACAGCAATTTGTTATATATAGCTGTGCTAGCCTTTTCCTTTAAGACTGACGATACTGTCACCTGACAAGGGAGAGGCCTTTGACACTGGAGTTAGAAATATAGGACAGAAAAAGGACAAAAAGCAAAACAAATAAGAAATACTCATTGGAAACCTCATAGAATTATTTGTTTTGTGAGAACTCTTTTTTTATTTTGTGCGTCCTGGCAAGGCAACTGAGAAGAACACTATGTATTTTTAAAGTTTATTATAGATAATATTGGCGTGTTTCTTTATGTTAAAAGCTTGACAGTGCATGGCCGTGGAGGTTTAGAACAATTGGTTCAATCAATGTTAATTACTTGCTATTGTGTATACACCATGCAGAGTTGCCAACATTTATCAAAAGACTGGAAGCAGATTGCAGCGGGGGATTTAGGGGGGTAGATGATGAATCATCACATGAAGCAAACTATCATCTGTTTCCATGACGAGCCAAGAAGGCAGCAAACTAATAAGCACATAACAGACTAGCTAAGTATAATTTCCACAATTACTTTAATTAACTTTTAGACCACCATTTCAGCTGTTCACTTCAGTTCAGCACCATTATTTTGTAGTACATAAAAGAACTGCATTATTTGCCATACCAGTTGTGTGCAACAGTTTTATGAGAGACAGATATAATAATGACAGGTCTTTCCTCCCATTTATAACTTTAGGTAAAAGGTTTTGGTGCAGAAGCCGTTGCCCCTGGAATCCCAGAGGTTTTCAGTGAACTGTATTATGAATGATTTTGACTGTGTTTCTTCACAGCTCTTTTCCTGTTTTCTGTGCTGTAGGACGCACTGTCCTATAGTCCTATCTATCTCTCTATCTTCAGTCATGTGAAAAAAAAGAACACCCCGATAAATATTTTGTTCTTTGTTAAGAAATATAGACATATCAATATTTGATCTTCTTTCACACAGTATCTATAGATAAAGGTAATGCATTTGCATCATCTTTGCCAAAACAATGAAAATTTGACTTTGTTCATTTATTATTTATTAAGGAAAACATTTAAAAGATGACAATTTCTATTGAGGAAAAAATTTGGACACCCTATGTCCTAATAGCTGGTATTTCCCCTTTGGATGCAGTAACCTCATATAGATGTTTACTATAACCGTCTATAGTCTGACATCGACTAGGAGAAATTTTTCCCACTCTTCTATGCAGAATTCTTTCAGCTGTCTGATGTCTGAGGGGTTTCTTGCATGCACAATCCATGTCAAATCGCCCCACAGCATCTCAGTAGGATTAAGATCCGGTTTTGACGTGGCCATTCCAGAACTTTCCATTTCTTTCTTTTGAGCTCTTCCTTGGTGGATCTACTGGAATGATTTGGGTCATTGTCATGTTGCACGGTCTACTTCCGCTTCAGCTTTTGGACAGACAATCTCACATTTTCCTCATAGTGATCCACTGATAGTGGATTCTATGATGGAGAGCTTGCCAGGCCCTGCTGCAATAAAGCAGTCCCAAACCATGACATTTCCACCTCCATGCTTCACAGTTGTCGTGAGGTTCTTGTCCTCAAATACTGTGTTTGGTTTGCTCCAAACATGTATTCTGTTACTGTACCCAGATAATTCAACTTTGGATACATCTGTCCAAAGCGCATTGTTATAGAAGTCCTGGTCTTTGTTCAGGGATTATCCGGCAAACTTTAGTCTTGCCCTGATTTAGTCTTGCCCTGACAGCAAGGGTTTCCTCCTTGCACACCCACTGTGAAAATCAAATTTATGCATTCTCTTTCTGATGGTAGATGCATGAACTTTGACATCAACTGTGGCAAGAGCCACGTTAGAAGTTGTTTTAAATGTTCTCCATTTGTAAATTATTTTCTGGACAGTGGAATGACCTGATTTCTAATTGTTTTGAGATCTTTTTAAATCCCTTTTCAGACTCATGTGCATCTGCAACCTTCTTTCTAAAGGTCTTAGAGAAATCTTTGGATCTCGCCATGGTGATTTTGTTGTAACTTTTTCCTCACAAGAAAATTGTATTCCGCTTAATTACATTTTACAGATTAATTTTCAAAGATATTTCTTGTTTAAATATATTATTCTACAATCTCTCAATATTGTTAACATAAAGATCAAATGTCCATATGTTTAAATATGTTAAATAAGGCAAAGGTTTTCATGGGGTGTCCTAATTTTTTTCACATCTGTCTACCTACCTACCTACCTGCTTACCTACCCATCTGTCTATCTACATATATATATATTTATATATATATATATCCTATCAGACGTGCCTTAGCTTTGAGCAGTGGTGATGCAGGGTGTACTTATCAAATTTCTCTGAGTAAGCAATCTGTACTAGGGTCAGATTTTGCCTTCCGTATATTACATGATAAGATTTAATGTCTTTCTACATCTGAATCTAGGTCTGGGGTTCTCAATTCTAGTCCTGTGCACCACATGCACTGTAAATTTCTATATGTAATAGTAGGTAAAAGTGTAAGCGTGTGTTGGGTCCCAGAACTGAGGTTAAGAAGCCTTGAAATAGATGTTTCTCTGAGAAGCTTAAGAAACAAGGGACAATAGTGTATGGTTTTGTTCATGTGGAGAGTCTCTGTGGCTGCTCAGGATTGATAAATTGTTGAAGCTCATTAATTGGTGTCGAGTCCCTTACGATTAATGAGTACAGACTGTTCTTGACGCACAGACTGTCTCTCTCTCTCACACACACGCATTTACGTACTCAGTGCTGAGTATAATGTTCCAGAATAAACTATATAAGTACTTCCTCCAGAATACACACAATACAAAAACATACCACACAAACACAACCTTATACATGTGAGTGAGTGTTAGTGCGTGCATTGTCCCAGTCTCTGGCCCTCAGCTGCATGGTGTGTATTGATCTTTCTGCTTGACCCCTCAAACTGGCACTCCATTTGTCTATTTCGGAAGCAAACACACACACATACACAAATACATTTAGAGATACAAATACCCGGACACTCTGTGCCTTGTCCAGCCTCCTACTGAGTTGTCCTACAGCTTTTACTGCCTTTTACTCACACACACACACACACACACACACACAAGCACCAGTAATCATCAGATAGTTTATCAGGTTGGGTCTTCTTTACGTAATGACTTCTACACACGGCCACATAAACGCACGCTCACACACCCATACATCCCCCTTCCTGGCTGAATCAATGTTAAAAGCTTTGTGCCTCGGGGGCAGACTGTGACAGCAACTCTACAGGTCATTCTGCAAGGTCACCAGCGTCACTGCTTAACAAGGACAGGAGACATGGAGTGCACTCACAAGCAAAATACTAGAGAATGTATGGTATTCTCTTCTGCTTTCTCATTTTGTACAGCTTGAGGAAGATAATGTTTGATAGTGTAGAATGATATATAATTTGTCAAAAATGGAAAAATTTTAATTATTATCAGTTTTTATCTTGTGCACGTATTTACATATGAGCAGCCACTAGTGCTGGGCATTCTGTCCTTTTCAACTTATTTAGTGTGTCCTTGGGCAAGTCTAGTAAGGTTACGTTCACCTTCAGTTGTAAGTGGATTTGGAAATCTCTTAAATGCTGTAAAATATCTACATAAACTAATGTAAATGTTTCCAGTAATGGTCATGTACCATTGCAAATTGTCATGTCTTGGCTATGCAAAATTATACATTTACATTGTTATATTGCTATAAGATAATTGTATTTGCAGAAGTAATGTTAGCGATCCAGCATTCTTTTGCATCAGCCTGAAAAAAAAAAGCTTCCACCCACCTTCAAGACATCATTGTCAAAAGGGACTTTTCCTAGTGAGTAGGAAATATATAGCACTGAGTCTACAACTTGTCTACAACAAATGTATTGTTGGTAAAAATTTTTCATTTTGAGTCCAATTTTTATGGACATACAGAGATTCAAATGTGTCATTAGTTATTGTATTAGTCCTTAAATTGGTACATCACTGCTTCATATACAGGCCTAACAATTTTATGAGTGAAAGCTTTGAGGTGACGTAAAGTATAAGTGAAGTGCTTTGTGTCCTTTGTAGTGGTGTAATAATACATACGTATCGCATTGTGTCTTACTGTATTGTATTGTAGGATATATTGTATTATGGCTAGCGCGTTCATTTGTTGTGCTTGGAGCAAACATGTTAGCTAGTGGCTAAAGCACTATAAAGCACAGCTTTTTTAGTGTCTCAGTTCTGCTTAAAAACTTAAACATTCTCAAAGGATCATGCAAAAGTGTGCCATTCTAAAGTCTTGAGTATTGTTGTAATATCAAATGCTCTTATAAACTAACATATTAATGTAAGGAACATTCTCAGACACTCCTTATTTTTGCTATATCAAAAAAACGTAGTGAGTTGAGACACCGCTATATTGTGTTGAATTATATAAATTTTATGAAGCATTACTCCCTTATTCCTTTGATACAGATTTCTACTTGCCTTCTTCTGTGTTTGTCTGTGCTAATCACTGTAGTCGTGTCTCCATTCTTGGTGTCCTCTTTATGGGGAATGTACCCTGAAGAGCATTTACTCACTTTTGTGTCATGGAAAGGGTGGATCTACTTTGTGTTGGTTTTGACCCTGTCTTTTGCACTTATGTTGGTGAGATTGGCTTACAGGGAGAAATTCTCTGTAAACCATGTCACATGTGCTCTGTCATGCTCACCTCCGCCTCTTTTCTGTGTGTTTTTGCCTTACACCTCCGGTGTGTGCATGTGTGCGTGCATGTGTGAGTGGTTGTGTGAGTGGCTGTGTGTGCGCGTGTTGCCTTACACTTGTCTCTGTGTGTGTGATGTTGTAGAGCTGGGGACTTATGGCAAGCTAAAATATTATCACTCAATGACCGAAGAAGGTAAGATCCTATCTCTGTAGATTTCACATTTGTAATCATCTTCCTCACTTCTCCCCTCATTATGCTGTGAGTTTGTATGTGCGTGTGTGTGCGTGCATGTGCACATGCGTGTGAACGAGTGTGCCTAATTCTTTTTGCGCTCTTGCTTTGACAGCCTCTCTTGGTGAGATTTCACTAACATAAGTGCAAATCGTGTCCACCATTCTCAATTTTTTCTTATGCTTTTTTTCTTTCTTTTTTTAAGTGTCCTTCACTTTCATTTTATTTTTGTTTAGATTCTTTTTCCCCTTTTCTTTTTTGTGAGCAGTTTTCCTATTTTGGGTTTTGATGTATTTCTTAAGTATAAGTGTTTCTGCAGATCCAGATTCTGTAGTTAACCAGAACGATTAAAGAGTCAATTCTGCATGAGAATCCCTTACTTGAATCATTAAAAGCATGTTCATCTAAACATAAGCCGTATCCCTAATTAGTGTGATCAGAGTGCAGTTAGTGAAAACATACAGAAATATGTTAATGTTTAGAAGCTGTAGAATTTTTTTCTCACATAGACAGTGGGACTTGCACGTCACAGATGATGCGAGGAACAATGAGTCACTCTGGGAGGAGTTATGCAATAGCAGCAACGCAGAGCTAATGTAATAATGACATCCCTCCCCCTCACCCTCCCACCTTTTTCTCTCCCTCCCCACTCTCTCTCTCTCCCTTGTTCTAATCCAATAATAACAGTTCTGAGACGTCTGGTTATGGTGGAATTGCTTTAGTCTCTTTGAGGATGGGTTAGACTCACATCACAGCCAGCAAAATGACAAATCGGCTTGCTTGCTTCCTCTGATGTTGGAGAGAAAAGGCCGACACTAGCTTCTAATTTTAGTTTCCCTCCTCATCACTACACACTCTTTGATGTAGTAATAATAGGGTTATGTTTTACTGCTGCTTTCCATATATGGAAAAGTGCTTCACACTCTTTAAGTTCCACCCTTGCAACACCTGTCATGATGTTTGACCCGCTACAATGATTGTTTCACATAAATTCCTGAACTCACCTACAGATAACCTTGAAAGCATCTGTAACTTTTTAGCCTTAGCCCTCTAACCCCCGAGAACCTCCCACAGCTCAGAGTGATTCTGCAGATGGTTCAAGTGATAACCAATAGGTCATGAGATGTAAAGGTCATATCATGCAGATGTGCATGTTAGTGGGGGTTAGAGTGGCCGGCCAGGGTGGTTGCCGATAGCAACAGACAGCAGGGTGGGCAGAGAGCCAATCACAATTAATGATTTTGTTAGGAAGGTCATACAGTGATGGGTCAGCACATTCACTATTGGAAAAAAAACTCAGACTTTACACGAAGGGAAAGCTGATCACTTCAATCAATACCAATGTGCTAATGCACTAACTTCCTCACTCACGCAGCAGCACACACATTTTCCAAACCTTGAAGCAGTGCTAGTCATTAAGTTGGTATGCTGTTATGTGAATTTGATCAGGTGTGTCATTCACACACAGAGGTTATCTGAAAAGGTTGTGCACCTACATCGGTGGGCCCATCCGTGGAGCAGTAGTGTTTCCTGCAGTGATATGAGGCTACGTTCACATTACTTCCCTGAAGTGGCTCAAATCCAGAGCTGTATGGACAAATTTGATTTTTTCAAATGAGATTTCAGTCAGTTTCATATTTGGTCCTATGTTGGATACATATCTGACTCGTAGTGATGTGCTGAAATTTAGGCCACCGAAACATTTGAGCCAAAAATGATCAAAAGTGGCATTTTCGGTTTTGGGTGGAAGAGAAAAGACCGCAGATTTTGGCAGGGAAAAAAAGTTTAAGTAGGTCCACAGTGGTCTGCTCAGATGTGTTCAAACAGTTAAAAGGGGGCAGTAGAGAGTAGGGGGGAAAAGTTGAGTGGAACTATTTTACTGTTTCTGTGAGGGATATTAGACAACAGCTTTGTAATCACTGTTCATGCTGAGTATCAAGAGGGTACAACACTCAAGAACTTAAACTGCGTCAGCTTTGATGCACTTGAAAACACGACATCCTGCTCAATATAATATCACACAACTAAATGAAGGAAGCAAAAAGGAAAGTCCTGTGAGCACGCCAACGCCATCTGTAGCCACAGTTTTTGAAGACAGTGTGAGACTGCAAAGAATACAACTTAGAGTTGATGGAATTCAGTGCCTGGAATGACCAACTGTTCTTTGTTGTCGAGGACGTTGGATGTTGTGGCACATTCAGGCACATTCAGTCTATTCAGTTTATCTGTAAACAACTCAAAGTTGTCCTGTTGAAGGCAGATTGTATCAATAATAAAAGTGTATTTTCTTTATTACCTTGCAGTTTTTATGTTTGCTATATTTACTCAAAAGCATAAACATCAAGTTCTGTTTTTGGTTTTCGGCCCATTGTGTTCAAATTTCAGTTTCAGCCAGGAATTTTCATTTCGTTATTGATTTGTGGTCATGTAAATTGAATGAGAACGGTCAAATGAGAATTCATGTGCTCGGTGTTAATGTGGCAGTAGTGCTGATTTGAAGCTAGTGCCAGTAAAAGCAAAGGCAAAGCAGCTGACCTTTTTTGCTTTCATCTTGCTCTGATAATGAACAGCTGAGAGCTGTTCAGAGCAAGTTGTCTTAGCAAAAAATTCTTGCTCTGCTATGCATCCAACTTGCAAGTTAGATATGCACGTACAGGTCATTTCATGGCACAGATTCACTCACATTAATGGCAGAGATAAGTCACTTACCAGTGCAAATGTGAACCACTAAAACATCTGAGCAAACATTGGAACTGAACAATGAAGCTTGTAATGTGAACGTAGCCTAAAAAACCTACACAGGATATCTCAAACATATTTCACTTGTAAATCAGTAGCATAAAATAAGGAAATAATGTAAGTCATATTATACATTGTATTTGGTGAGTAACTGTAACCGTAACCTTTTGAGGAAGCTCTCACTCTTTCACTGTGTCTTTTAGGAAAGTTTCGTGAAAAAGCGTCAATCCTTCACAAAATTGCCAAAAAGAAATGCCAAGTAGAAGATGCCAACGGAGTGGCTGGTGAGTTTTTAAAGCTAGGTTTTACAGCTGGCATTGTTACATCCACACTGCTTTTCATTACAGTTGTGTTGTGGTGTTTTAATATTCAGAATCTTTTTCTTTTTTCCTCCTCATTCTCACTCATATTGATCAAAGACGGTCACATTTCTGTTTTAACAGGACAATTATGCAAACAGATTCACATTACCATATTAGCATCTTAACACAACTCAAATGGCACAGTGCCTTTGACGGCATCTTTCTTTGATGTCCTGTCTGCTCAATATTATCATTTTCAGACTTACAATCACATACACACACACTTCCCTGCTCAAATATAAGTGTGTTTTTACTGTATGTTGTGTTTACTTTAGATAAGAATCTTCCTAACAGCTCCAGTGTGGAGGTGGAAGTGTCTCCTCCTCTAAATGGCACTGCGGGGCAAGAGGGTGACACGGTGAGTGATTAAAATTACAATACACACAAACGATCCCTTCTTTAAGAGCGAGGGAGTGCATGTACGTGTGAGAGAGAGCAATCACGAGTTTGTGTACTGTATCCACTTTATGATCTTGAGGTAAAGCCTAAGTCAAACAGAACTGAGTAAATTGTGCATTCAAGGGTGCCAGAGATCCACGTTTTACTTTGCATGTGGTAAGCTGTTTTTACAGCAGTTTCCATATGTGGACTGTGTAAACTTGGGGAGGTGAACATGACTTTTTGAAACTTTAAAACGTATATACTGCTGCTTAACTCTTGAATTTTAAAAATGTGAGAAATTTTTGGTTTTCCATGATATGGGCCCTTTAAGTTTACACCTTACTCAATGGAAAAAGCCCTACACCTACCTCTTTAAGCCACACACACAAACACACACTCCCTGGCTTTCCTCTCGTTTGGATGATGAAGAGCCCTCACCCTCTGCCCCCTGTTGGCACAGCACGATGCCAGTTGAACAGATGGTACAGCTTGCGTGCAGGCAGGGAGAGTGCCCTCTCAATGTCACCAAGACAACCAGGTCACAAGGGGCCACAACCATGCTCAGTTCCAGCTCACTCAAACACGACATCAGTTTATGTGCCCTGCCACTCATATACAACATATGCCTGATCGTTCATTTACTCACATGTACGCACACACACTAAAGACAACAGTTCAGAGGGACCTTCTGGCTCTGTAGATGAAGTTTGAGTGAGGCTGAGTACAAGTGCTGAATCTGTGGAGAGAGATGAGAGATGGGCTTCATTCCAGTCTAGACAAATTAAGCTCTCATTTATTTCCCATAGTCACTTTTTATTGATGTAGAGTGCACAGAAAGTATAGTTTTTAACCATTTTGACCACAGTTCTTTTTTGCTGGTTCAGTTTTATTGGTTTTCAAATCAAGAAATAAAAAAATGAAACAACTGAAAATAATATAACAGTGCACTTCAGTCATATGCATACATGTACAGTCACACGCACAATGTCCGCATGCATATCTTCAAATACTGAAGCACTTAAATATTCAGGCCCACATATCTATATACATACATACCCATATACATGCTTATCTTCATCTAATCAAACGTCAAGGTATTTTTCCAATGTAGTATAGTCTTTAGTAGTAATTCACAAAGAGTAAATACATTAGAGCATTAGAGTCAAAACCTGAACTGTTGTTTGTCCCGGCAACATGGAGGACTTCTTTTTCTCTAAATTAAGATCAGGCCTTGGGTTGACTAGGAGAATGAGAAGCAGAGCTGGAGAGTAATGAGTGTCTTCACTGGATTCAATATCCTGTAATGCAGTACAGTCATTTCTCTCATACTGCAGTGTCTCCCACTCATTAGCCATGGTAATGGAGCTCCTTATTCTGCTTCTCATAGATCACTGGTAGTATTGAACTTCTTAGGCTTAATTCTTTGTATTCCTGGTTTATACCCTAGGAGCAAGAATTATTTTGTGCTTTGCATCTGAAGAGAAAATAAAATTAATTTTGAGTCATGTTTAATCATTTGAACCAGGATTACAAATCAATATTTTGACTAAAAGACTGATACCACAATGCTTGATACCGATATCGATATAGCAACAAACTAAAAACAACTAACAAACTAAACAAGAACATAAAATGAAATTGTTACAGCTTAATTAACATCTGTGATTTTCAAATTCAGTCTTTTTTAACACAGAACTCCACCGAGCATTATATACACAAATACGAGGCCACCTAAAGAGGGAAAAAGTGAAAAGTGAGATCAAGCAATACAGTGTAGCCCAGGGATCGGCAACCAAATGTTAACAAGAGCCATTTTGTCCTTTATAATGGATTTAACCACCTGGGGAGCCACAATATTTTATGTCCATTTTATCATCTTTGCTGTAAATATGTCTCAGTGTGTGCTAATGTACTAGTAAAGGATAAAAATAAAATATGAACGAAAATGCATACTTATTTTTCTCTGCTTTAAGCTTTAGCTCAGCCATTTCTCACATCTCCACCAGGAAACTTTTACACAAAGTGCGATAGTTTCTTGTAAAATGCCTCTTAACATCCGATTTTTTGATTAGGCTGAACTCAGCTTCTCATTTGCCAGCTTCTTGTCTGAATTTCTCAGTTCCACCTTAAATGGTGCCTGATGCGACAGAATGTAACTGCTGCACCAAGGTGGAACAGGAAAATGCTGATTAAACGAATCAGGAAATGAGCTGGAGTGCTCAGAAATGCATTCATCTCCAGATTATCCATGCTCATCTTAAATCTTTCTTTTAGCCTTTTTGTTAGCTACTAGCAACAAAATAAAATGAACGTTAATATTCATATAGTAGTGAATATACGCAAAGTAGTGACAGTTTTTAATGCATAATAGTTCAGATGCTTACGTAATATTTTTACTATAATACATTTACAGCTCAATGTATTTGGTCAGTGTAAGAGTCACTGCAAGAGGTACAGTCTTCTAAATTGTCGCACACAAGCATCAAATTTATGGTAAATGAATATCGGCTCTAAATATCGGGTATTGGTTACTAATAATCAGTATCTTTATCAGCCCTGAAAAAAACATCGGTTGACCCCTAAATACAGTGTCACTGTACTGTTAGGTTAGTTAAATGAGGAATTGCAAGCATTTAAAGTTAGAATGGTGAATTGCTTATCATGTAGTAGTATTAAAAAAGCACTGAACCTTTCATACTTTCCCTCTTTTAACGGATTCCTCCCTTTTGTCATCCCAGAGGCTTTTCCCTGCGTTTGTGTGTGTGTGTTTGAGGTTTTGCTGACACCTCGCTCTCCTCTCTGCCACACTCCTGCTGTATCTATTTTCAGCAGCCCACACCCCGCCATCCCACAGTGCACCTGCGTGCATCTGGCAGGAAGCAGCAACGCTGTGTTCGCACCTGCGGGTGTGTCCAAGAGCGCACCCGCTCGATAATTACTCTGCTCCTCCCGGTGGCTGTCCTGATCACTCGTGCGAACACGCGCCCTGCAAAGCAGCTTGAAGGTCACTTTAAAAATCAGCAGGATGTTCTTAGCTCAAACTGCAGCTATTTTTGCTTGGGGGAAAATGAGCCTGCAAGTCAGTCAATCAGGAGTGGAACAAAAACGCATGTAAAATATTGCAGATGTAATCTACTTCAATGAATGTCAGTCTTTTTTAGTCTTTCAGTCTTTTTTCAGTCTCTGCCCAAGAGAGATTACATTCACTGTATTCTCCTCTCAGTGAAAGCATTCCCACATGTAGCTGAATAACTACAAGTGCACCTTTATTTATACACTGTTTTTGATTTCATAGAAAAAATTTAAATTCATGTAATTTATTTGAGAAATTACTTGAGGCTTATGTATTCAAAGGAGATGGCTGAATACATGGTAATAGGACCACTAAAAACTCTTGGGCCATAAGTGAAAAGGTGGTTACTATTAATTAGCCTCTTTTTGTGATTTCAGCAAAAAATTTCAAAATTTCTGGGTTTATTTAATTATTTTCCCATAGTGCACTGCAGTTAATAAAAAACGTGATGCTCCTTCAGTGTTGACACTTTAAACGTATCTCATGCTGAACAGAAGGCACAAATCACCCTGCAGTATGCTTAGTATGGAGTAGATACTGTTAGTAATCAGAAGGCAGGACGTGCTCCGGCACACACAGGCTGTGTTACAGCTAGCTGACTGTTCTGATTCAGCAGTTCCTTTAATGAGCTGCTAGGAGCTGCACACCTGCCCTACAGGAAAACAACAGCAACGCTCAACAGATTGGCACAACATTCACCTACTGCCAAAACAACATCCATACAGCTTTCAGACAACAAAGATAGAGGACCCATACAACCCACAAGCAGCATGGGATGTTCAGACAACACAAACACAGTGTTTATAACATGAAAACAATATACATCATCTAGAGTGCATTCTCTTGAAGGTGACACATCTTTTCATTTAAATGTAAATGTTAGTTTGAAAATGGCCATGTACTAGAAATGTACCATGTACTACTGCAAGACAGAGAGAGAACTCCTGGGAACACGTACAGACAGGCTGTCGATGCTGCCCTTGTAGTGACTGTTCCAACCACTTGACCCATTTTTGACAACGCTCAGCTCTTTCTGTGGGAGACAGTAAAAAAGAGAGGTGTGTGTTTGTGTGAAAACAGTGTGGGTGTTGGTGTGTGCTCAAGAGAGAGAGAAGCAGTCTGTATATTTTGTCTGAGAAACTACATAGTGTGAGCGAGGGCTTCATTAAGCTGAAGCTTTTGCTTTTGCTCTGTCTCAATGACTCTCATCACCAAGGTTACAATGAGGCAGGTGACAGATCATCTCAGTGGGACCCCTATATTTTTACTGTAGTATATGCTCTACCACACCAGACACACACACACGCTACCCAGACACAACACCACACATAAAGTGTGCCATAAACAAACACTTAAATGGCATGTTTAGACAAGTGGCCATTGTTCTCTAAGGAATTTATGCTGCTCTAATTGGCCAGGCTGTGTCTGTGTGTAGTCTTGAGCACACACCAACACCCACACTGTTTTCACACGTGTGTGCATGCACATGTCAGCACCTCTGATTTAGAACGTTAAATCACATTTCTGTTACTGCCATGTCACTATCAGTCTTCACATTGATGGGCCCTTTTCTTTGAGCAGGGTGAAGAAGATGATGAGGAAGATCAGCCTCTCAGCCTGTCCTGGCCAGAGACCTGTCGCAAGCGCTTTACGTACCTCTTCATCCTGCCTATCGTTTTCCCCCTGTGGATCACACTCCCTGACGTCAGGAAGCCCGTGAGTTGTGTTCAGACTGATCTGGTCTCATTCGTGATGCAAGTGTGTGTAATTAGTCTATCTGTCTCCTTGTCTTTTAGACATCCAAGAAGTTTTTCCCCATCACGTTTCTGGGAGCAATCTGCTGGATTGCTGGCTTCTCCTACCTGATGGTGTGGTGGGCTCACCAGGTGCGTCTGATACTCAAAGGACACTGCAGGGAGCCAGGAAAAACACAAAGCATGTGATGATTTAGGCAGGCACAATGCTTGTGATGAGTGTACTTCCACTGAACTTGTTGGCTACAGCTGATCTGCTACATTTGAGATAAGGAAGAAATTGTGTAAATTTGATGTTTCATTCACTGAGGCATTGCATTAAGCCCAAAGTGAATATTCTCCTGTAGGAATGTCCCATACGTCTTCTTCAGAGTTATCTGGGTATGTTGGAAATCTTCCTTTGCGAAATGCTCAGCGAAAATCACAGCACACATTCAACATGGTGAATCAATGAACTGGTACAGCACACAGATACAGCTGTCAAAACTGTCAAAGCACACGCAGCAGATGCACATCACAGTGAACCAGGCAGATGTAGCAGACTCTGTGTGGCACAAAGGAGCCAGAAAAGGGTCATCAGTAACCTGTAGTTATGAGACATAATGCAGATGGATTATGAAGTCAGCAATTGCTTGCAGAGATCATGTTTGCAATGTTTGTGAGCTGATGATCTAGTCTAATTCTAGACAGTGGCGTCAGCTGGCTTAGTGACACCCAGTGCTGTATCTGCGAAGTGTTGGAAGTGCTTTGTGACTCACTGGTGTGATGAGAGATTAGTGTTTAAATCAAAGATTCAAAGTGGTGTAATGAACAACTTGTCTCATTCTTCAACTGTTTTTTTCTTTCTGTCTGTCAGTAATGTGCCTGCCTATAACCGAGCATGAGCAAAGCTTTGTGCAGGTATAGGAAGCCAGACAGCTTCTCTAATCAGGGCAGTAATTACGTCAAGTTATCCTAGCAGGGAAACTTTGATTGGCAGCACTAAAGTACATTTGCTGATTTTGCGTCACATTCTGTACGTATAATTCACTAAAACAACAATGTAAGGCTATAAAACTAGAGGATCCTCAGCACTGCTGAGTTCTGAGTTCTCAGTCTACTTTAACACACACTATATTTGCAAACAGCCCCCTCCTCCTATTTTCTCTTCTGATGTAATGATGAGGACTAATCTAATCTGAACTCATTTACTGAATCGCTGTGGTCTAATGAATTCTGAAATTTATGTAGATGAGCTGCATTCTTGGGAGTTACAGAGTCAGATAATCTGAATAATGGTGGTTTATGCTTTAAGTTGTACAAGAAAAGCTATATAAAATATTTAAAACATGGGAAAATAGGGGAAAGGGTTGTGTACTGTGAGGCAGTATATTTGGTCTCGAGAGATTGAGACTGTGTTTTACTGGCTAGCTAGTAATAGCATTACATGTAAGTCCCTGAAAAGTTACATTGATCAGTGAAACACTATTACCAGTGAAAAGTTGAATGCTACTGCTTGGTCTAACTTGTTACTGTTGTTGTGGTAATAATAATAAGAAGAATAATATTATATTGCCATTGAATCAAAATACATGATAATTATACGATATATGATTATATACATTATATTAGTTATAATATCATATATAACGGAACCATTAAGGCATAAACTTTTTGGTGCTTTGATTAATAACACACATCAGTTATGCACAGTTGTGCTACAACTCTGTACCGTCCATCACACGAAGTAAACAAAGCAAAGCAGTGTGAAGAGCAGAGCAGCAGAATTTTTGAGCACTAGAAAAAATGGCCTCAAGAACCTATTTTAGTACCAAGATCCACAAGATCCCCGCTCTTAAGAAAATGGATGCATGTGGCTGTGTATTGGCCAGAACTTGGCGATACAATATGTCATGATATAGGGGTTAGGGTTCAATATATACTGTGATACTGTAAGCAAGGTGATATAATGTGATTTTTTAAATCTAATATTAGGAAAACTGTCATGGTATAAAAACACACCACCAAATGCATAAAAAGTTAAGAGTTAAGCCATTATGCAATCAAAATTGTGGGATCTGCATTTGCATTTATCACAGTCCATGTAACATCAAACATAGCACAAATCATGCCCTCTGAACAAAGGATTTAGCATTAACCTATATCAGTAAAAAAAAACCAAAAGTTACAGTTTACATTACATGAGTTGAATCAGATGTTTTAAATCAGGGAAAGCCCAAAACTGCTGTGCTCTGGGCCTGTAAAACAACAAATGAGTCACTGGCATATGTAACATTCTCTCAGTTTTGTGGGAGTAGAGATGATGCAGACAAGGTGGAATGAGATGGATGAATGAGTTAAAATCAGGCAGGGCTTCAGAGAATGTGCCTGAATAAGCAGAACATCTGGGTCTCATACCTACTGTTTGTCTCTCCTGCAGGTTGGTGAGACGATTGGCATCACAGAGGAGATTATGGGTTTAACGATCCTGGCAGCTGGAACCTCCATTCCTGATCTCATCACCAGTGTCATTGTGGCCCGAAAAGGTCTCGGTGACATGGCTGTGTCCAGTTCTGTTGGTTCCAACATTTTTGACATCACCGTGGGGTAAGAAAGACTCACTATAATGAAAATATTAATATTACTCCATTTTATTCTCATTTTTTATATTAGCTTTGTATCATACTTTACATATATTTTATTTGCTAGTTTTTACTGAGTCCTGGAAGAGAACATCTCAAAAAAACACAAAACCACAAAAATGGTATTTGTGAAAGTAAGGCTACATTCAAACACAAATCAGATTTTTTGCCTAGTTGTGACAGATCAGATTTTTGAGCTGTGTGAACACAAAGATCTGACCAGTTTTGAGTAATGGTTCTGTGTGGTCCTAGATCTGATACATACACACATTTTATATATATATATATATATATATATATATATATATATATATATATATATATATATATTTTAATGCAACTCAGCCTTAAAATTATGCAAGGTGGAAGTTCACAAAAAGAAAAGAGGACACTGGTAAACATTATGACTATTAGTTGTTTGCTGTTTTGGGTAGTAGGAAACTGCAGTGCTGTTTCGTTCCAACGCTGTGAGACACTTCAGAGGGATCTGCTTCCTGTGTTTCCCAGGTTACCGTTCCCATGGCTCTTGTACTCTCTCGTAAACGGCTTGAAGCCCGTAAGGGTGAGCAGTAATGGACTGTTCTGTGCCATTGTGCTGCTCTTCCTCATGCTTCTTTTCGTCATCATCTCCATCGCCGCCTGCAAGTGGAAAATGAGCAAGCTGCTGGGTTTCATCATGTTCCTCCTCTACATCGTCTTCCTGGTGCTCAGCGTTATGCTGGAGGACAAAATCATCACCTGCCCCGTTTCCATCTGACCTCCACATACTGATACTCGATCTGTGAACCACCTCTAAAGAAGCCTCATCCACTTCTATTCAAACCTTGCATCGTTACCTGAAAACCCACCCATGTTTGACATTTAATTCGGGAAGCGTGAATGTAGTGAAAGATTCTTTGCCATCGACTTTCTGGGTGCTGGCTTTGCTGCATTAGAGCTTGTAGGGTTTAGAAATGCGGGAGTAAACATTTGTTGGCCCCTAGTGTTGAGCGATGTATCAAAATTTTAGGTTAGCATGAATCAAAACCTCTTCGGTAATTAGAATATCCTTTAACTTCTGAAGTACAGTATCATATTGTAAGAAAGCAGCTTTGTTTTTTTCCATTTATTTTTTAAAAAAATAGTTACTGTAGTAAAGGAATATAATTAAATTAATTGCATAGCTGACCACAACTAATAAAGTGATGCAAGTCCTGTTGTGACACATATTTCAATGTGTCACAACAGGACATATGCTAGCATCTAGCATCATGATGGCCCTTTTTAAAGAAAGAAGATATTAATTATTAATGTAAATTAAATATTTTCAAATTAAACAGTGTTTGTGTACAAATAAATCATATTATTAATAATATAACCATGAATAGATCATGATATATTTATATATTTAATATACACCATGTATATTGTTTTTTAGTCACCCTATCAAGATCAATGGTTAAGCAATATTGCTCAGTACTAGGGGCTTACTTATAAACCAGGGAGAGAAGAGAAAGTGGAAATGAGATCTGCTATGCATGGCATTTTGGTTCACTGAATCTGATGCCTCTAGAAAACACTGACTTTTCTTCACACCTGTATCAAAGTGGTCCCATGGGCAACCTTACACTGGTTGAAACAGCAGCTAAATGTTGTGTGGGTGCTAACTCACTCATTGTCACGTCTGCTGGAGACTCTCACAAATGGGAAGACACTCACAGGGCACTTGTACAGTGGCCAATGTTTTGTCTTTCATGAAAACACGCTGATGTCTGGACAGCAACAAGTTCTATCAGGCAGTGGCGACCTCAGATACAACAGAAGATATGAAGGCCTCACACGGATTCAGGATGTCATTTTACATCTAATAACAGGATGTCATTTTGCACTCTAAGTAATTTATTTATTTATTTGTTTATTTATTTCATAATTTTTTATTTATTTTTGCTTGTGTGTCAAGTGGCCAAGTGACAGTTTTAAGGCTGTTGCTCCAATAATGGATAGTAAGTAGAGCTAGTTGAACCACAGTATTGACAACAGCAAAAAAAAATGTACAATCACTAACTGACTGACTACTTCCATCATTTAAATCATTCACACACCTGTATGTAATGGTATAGACTGTAAGTAAACTTAGATTAGACTCTTAAAATACTAACATACTAAATAAGAATTAAAAAAAAAAACCTTATCATCTCCTAGAAAAAAAACAGAAGGGACTTGTGTATATGCTTATAGACATAGCTCAGTGTCCAAATAGCCTGTAGATATATACTCTTGCATTCCTCAGCAGAAGAGGCTATGTGCAATAATCTCCTTAAATATGTAATGCTTAGAGCGCTCAGTGTATTCTGAATGGGTTTGAGTGACACTGGAGTTTGAAGTTTTTTGTTTGTTTAAAAAAAAAAAAGACGATCATTAAAATTACATGCATGAACATTCATGTAGCTTAATTAAAGCATATTGCTCTAATCACATGACACTCCAGATAAACATTTTCATCAGTGATTTTCAGAATGATTATTCTTTTGAGTTTAAAAGGGTATTCACTTACTGTAATATGATAGAACTGTCTACAGGTATCCTGTAATCTTGATCAATTATTACTCCTGTGCAATCGGTTTTTTAAGGATACTGGAAAGGTATGTGTACATACGTAAAAAGTTCCAAACTACTTATTTATTAGTCTCCCCATTGTTTCACAGCAGGTCTGGACCTAGTTGTTATATTTAACCTACAGCTACATTCACCCTGTAATAGTACTCAGTAATACAGACATAGAAAGCATTGGTATTGACTCAGTACTCAATGATACAGTCGTTTACTATGTTTACATGCTCACCAGTGATTCGATATCAAGTGCACAGCTGCTAATCTGATTAAGACATGAACTGTTTGGTGTCATTGTCTGACGAAGGTCTTAGTTCAAGTGTGATTAAAATGTGAGATCCAGGCTGATGTTGACCAGTCTATCGAGATTTGGTGGAAAGCGCTTAGAAAGCTCCACTGGCTCGCCTGGAGTTTTTGCAGAATTAACTGACGATTAGTTTTCTGACTGTTTCATGAATGGGCCTGTAAAAAATAGTTTAGTATATACTGCTTATGTGTTGGAGATTTTTGTGTGATTTACTTAGTTACTACTTACTGAGCACAATCATTACACATAATGTAGTAGGCTATTTCAGACAGGTCTGGTGTCATAAGTTGTCTCATGATATATAGGTCAGTATAGTAATTTTTACTTACTGAGTACTGTACTGTATACAGTTCTAAGGAGTAGAATGCTGTAGACAGTATATACTGGTACAGTATGAAGAATACTATTTTAAATAATCAAATATTAATGGGAAAGAAATTAGGCAAAAAGTGGCTTAAACCTTTTAGGGAGAAAGAGACACCCCACGTTAGCCATGAACAGTGTAGAAATATGCATCATGAGATGGACTAGATGGAAGGAAACAAAGGAACAGTGAGATTTTCAAATGGCAGGAAACTCATAGGCATATAAACCCATGCATGTTCTGTAAACTGGGACTGTGCTGCTGTGCATGTAAACAAGACTGTAAATGGACTGGTCTTTTATACTGCTCATGTAAATGCGTTGGTTTGGTCCAATTTGTTGTGCACATGTAAACTTAGTAACTGCTACAGACTCCAGTGGCACTGATGGCCTTTAGCACTGCTACAGACATTGAATTCAATGGTATGGATTCACTAATCAATGGTACAGTCTTGGCTGTACTGACTCAGAACACTTTAATGTAGACTCACATTTCAGTATAGATTGGTATAGACTCCTCACTGTTATACACTAACTGTTCTAATTCCCGCAGCTACATTGATGAGGGTGGGGGGTGCAGATAGAGTTCCACATCACGGCTGGACATGTTATAAACCGTGCTGGATATATGGGGACACTGAACTGCAAAGATGAGAGGATACTGCTCTTCATTCACTATATGCATTATTTATTGAAGGCTGAAACTTTTGTAAATACAGTAGATATACATAGTATAGATATATTACAAATAGAAGCAGGCCGATGGTCTTACAATTCCTGAGATGTACTGTACGTGTCTATTTATGTACATAGACATTATCGTTGCTATTTTTTCAACTGGAAGCTATATCGAAGACTTCATACTATGTGACGCTTATGGATTTTCTGAACATCTTTGAGTGCGTTTGGTCGTTTTGGCAGATACTGCTGCGGTCTGCAGCATGCTTTTATTTTATGACAAAATATTACATCTCTCTTTTTTTTTTTTTTACTGGAATGTGTAATTAGGGTATTAAAGGGGGGCTTTAAAAACCACATTGCCTCTTTGAAGTGTACAAAGATGGAAAGTTTTATATTACATGATTTCTGCCATGTTTTTACTGTAAACTTTCCTTTCTTTCTCCAGCACCTGTAACCATTAATATTCAAGTGCTCTATCTTTTCCTTCTGGTTTCTTTCTTTCAATTTGACTCCAGTGCATTTTGTATGATTGGGAGGTTTTGCTTGCTCCTCTTTTGTGCTTTATTCATTTATTGTTTGTTTCTTTGCCATCCTCATACTGATTGACACCTTTATCTGAAAATAGGTTTGCCTCTGCACGTTCTGGGACATTTTTGCCTCATTTGGACTTAATATTTTACTTACTCAACACCTTCATTTATAGAAACATGTAATATACTACATTGGCTGTGTAGATAAAAGCAATTAGAGATTTAAAAAGCAAGATTTCACCTGGAAATTTGTGAGTTCCACTTTCTTTTTTTTTTTCAGGCAGTTCAGATATATATATATATATATATATATATATATATATATATATATATATATATATATATATATATATATATAAAATCATGGCATCTCACCAACCCACTGACTCATCCGTGCAGTTTTAGGATTTATTAGGAGGAAATAACGACTTGCACTTGCTAGAATGTTCCCCTGAAGGTGACGGAGCTGGTGGTGGCTGATGCAAGTTTGGTGCCTTTTTAAGTGCGGGTCACGGAAATCAATCAATCACCTGGAAATCAAGGCAAGTTGGAAATGTCACCTGGCCAGCTGCCTGTGCATACGCTGAGGAACCCCTCTGTGTTCACAATGCATCCAGCTTTAGAAAGGGGACCTGAGAGAAATCCCTCTGCTGATGTTGAGCTTTTTTACCTGAAGCATGAATGCAGAGAAACACTGCACGAAGTCTTACACTTTCATCACAGAGACTTAAATAACAGCTCTTGCTCGTCGTTCACATGCCCAGTGTTCCACGTCAGTGTCACATCTCCAGGGTGTCAATGTAGTTGACTTAAAGTGTACATATATACATATACAAATATGATCATATAACTTGTGTAAAAGAAACAGTCTATGTATAAATGCAAAGGATGTAATAAAGGAAATAAAGGTAAATATAATATTTGCAGTGTAGTTGCCTTTTTGTGAATGCTATTAAATAAGAACTACTAAGCAAAATACCGGTTTTATGGTAAGAGAAAAGTATAAACCTGTTTACTGCTTGCACTATGACTTTCATGACGCCTAGATTCAGTTTCTCTGTGGAACGGAATAAAGACTAATACAGTTTGTCTGCATGTATCACTACCAAAAGAAGAAAGGAAGTTCATTGATTGGCCATAAGAAAATGACTGACCAGGCCATATCTTCTGGTAATCAGGGCTAATCCAGGCTGCTTTTGAAATTTTAAGGAATGCAAATATAATAAGGACACAGTGTCATTGATGTAAATCACCAAAAGCTAATTTAATGCTCCCTTGTGGAGAATTTTCTGCCTGGAGGGTTTTCAGATGCACAGAGGACTTATATATTATATTATATATGTTATATATGCAATATATAGTTATATATTGCATATATTATTATTATAAGAAAAAGGGGAACTTAAATGTCACCAAAATACAGATGATTCTTCAGAAGAAGCTGTTCAGAATTAGGTTTGATCTTACTACTATATACATTTCTTAAGCAGAAATATAAAATGTAATTCAGGGAGTGCTTTTTCACTCATTTCACTATGTGGCCTCTTGCAAAATACCTTCTTTAAAAGAACGAGTGAAAGAGTGACAGTGCAGTGACAGCTGACTTTTGGTCAGGTCCTTCAGCTGTCAAGCTTCTACTTTCATGAAAACTGATAATAAGACAAACAAATTATCTGCTGTGTTCTGCGGCAACATTCCTCCCACCTTCTTTTCCAACCTGACAGTTCCTTCCCCTTAATATCATGATGAGTCACCATAACTCGCAAAGAAAGGTTGGTGTGAACACAGTACACAAAGCCTTTTTTTCCTTCAAATTTTGTCATCTATTCCTGTACATGGAAAATGAAGCAATAAAATCTGACTTTGAGGAGAAGATCACTAACGAGCTCCACACAAGGTGACAAACAGAAACATGCCTTTCTGCTGTGCGCTTATTGCTTCTCTGACAGCAAAGTATGACAAACAGAAGGCAAAGAGCTATTTTTTGGGTGCAGTTGAGTGTGGTATGACTCAGTTCTGATAATTTGAACACTCTGCTGGGAGACAGTGAGAAATAAGCTGGCAGTTACAAGGCTGTTTTGCAGTTTCTTTGTAATTCATGGCTCAATTTTGGAACACTGCAAGTACATTTGATTGGACTTGGTACTGTTTTATGGCCAACCAGTAGGGGGCAGCAACTACATACGATTACATATTTATGTCTACATATTGATAATTCTTAAAGCTCTTATTGGCTCTCAGTGAATCTTCTTCTTGCTCTTAGGTAGTTTTTCTTTTCCCCCGTTGTGCTTGATTTGTTCACTTTCTGTAAAGCCGCTTTATAATAACGTCCTTTGCAAGAAGATCCATACAAATAAGTTTCAACTGAATTTAGTCAGTTTTCAAAATTTAGTTTCACATTTTGGCCAGACTGTGTCTGTGTAGCCAATTAACAGACTTTGACATCATATAAAAATATATGCATATACTAAAGAGACTAAAGGCCTTTGAATGAACCCTCCTCACCACTGTGGTCATCAGGAAAGTCCAAACATTGCAAAGACCGACCAAATGAGCTGCCCTCATTATTAATGCTCTTTTGGGAGTGTTAATGATTCAGTTCAACTATGTAAGCTTTTTGGCATGACCATATAGATACAGCTTTGAGAAAGCATAATCTGAACAAGAACAGACATTTAGAAAATTAAGAGAACATCTAAGAACTTAAGGAATTGATTTCAGTTCAGTTCAGTAAGCTTTATTATCATAGCCATATTGAGATAGTGTTGCCAAAGCATCACCAAAATATCAAGAATAAATATTTATAACATTAAGAGTTCTAAGAACTTCCAATTCATTTCTGAAACATAACATACATGATAGCCTCTATGTGGCCCTCTAGTGGTCGCAAGGGATTATTTTTATTTCAGCAAATCTATCCATGCTCTTTGATGACATCATATGGTCGTAACAAGTTTTGACAGGTGGGCTCTTCCTGATGACTCTAAAAGCTGAAATACTTCTTTAACAGTGAGTGTTTTAATCTTTACTTCACTTTGCCTCGTTTATTTTAGTGGAAGGACCGTTTAAACTGGTTAGTGCTGGATGCAGCTGTTTTTGTTTACTCTTTATTTACTCTTGTTTATGGTTTGATGCAGCTCATCCTCACTAGCTTAGCATAAACACAGTCCAGACAAAAGAGGAAGAAAACAAAGAGCTGTAAGTAAAGAAAAAGCTGTAAAGTAAAGCCAATGCAGAAAAACAAAAACAGGTTAAAGTGTTTTCTTGGAGTCAGAAATGTAGAACAGTTTCTGCACCTGAACTGCTATTATGTTCACCAAGTATCCAGTTTATTAGACCCACCTGCCTTGTAGCTGCACTCACTGGCCATTTTATCACAAACAACTGCCATATAGCTGCACTTTACAGGTTCACTCTTACTGACTGTAGCTCATCTGTTACTGCACGGTTTGTCAGCCCCTCAACCCCTTTCATCAGTGGATAAAGACCACTGTAGACCCACCACTGACCAGAGATTATTTGGGTGGTGGATCATTCTCAGAACAGCAGTGATAATGGCCTGCTAATAAGTCTGAGGTGCAGTGTCCACTTACTTTTTTCTTCATTAGAAACACCCTGCAGGTGTACAGTTCATGTTAGTCCTCTAGTTCTTCTCCTCTCTTGTCTGGATATTTTTGGGTGGTGTTTTCACTCTCAGCCTGGCCGTAATACTGACACGTGTAAAAACTCCAGCAACACTGCTGTGTCTGATCCACTCACACCAGCTCCACACTACCAAATCAGTGCTGTGCTGAGAATGGACCACCATCTAAATAATATCTGGACAGCGGTGGTGCAGCAGCAGATGAGCTACAGTCTGTAACTGTGAACCTGCAAAGTGCAGCTATATGGTCTGTGTTTCTGATAAACCAGCTGATGAACATGGGTGTGAGAGTGTGTTGAGACTCTGTGGATTCAGTGTGAAACTGTGACAGTGCACTGAGCAGAATACAGTCTAATAATCATGTAAGTGCACCAAACTAAACAACTCACCACAGCTCTCCTCCTGCCTCACAGCTCTAGAGTGGGTAGTAAGCAGTGCAACATGAGTATAGTCATCATTTTTCTGACATCAGAATCCCAAAAAGTTGAACCTAGTGTGGTGAATTGAATTACATCGTGGACTGAATGAATCATTATATCCCCCAATGAGTGCAGATAAAGAGTAGATGGACATTATAAAGTGTAAACTCAGAGTTTATTGCTGTCAAACTCTGAATTCAATCTCACCACCAAGAAGCTCGTACAAATGCTTTCAGGAGATTAATCAGGAATGTGTAAAGGACAAATGCACATGACTTTGTTGTGAAGGTAGGAGCTGCTGTAAGGCTCTGCTGTGCAGATCATAAGTAATTGGAAAGTGAATTGGTTTTTGTAGTTTTAGCTGTCTGCTCTGGCACACTGGACTTTATAATGAAAGAAAGTACCTTTATATGATGCAGCAGTTCCTCTAAAATTGTAGCTACTTGGGTTTGGTACAGTCCTGATGTAAAACCTGATGATGTTACTGTTGATCCTGAAACTGTGTCAATTTATAGTAAATTTTCCAAAAACATTATCAGTGACGCCAGCAGCTTCCTTGGCGCACAACCATTGGAACGCTTTGGAAAACTGTGCATGGTTTCAAGCCAAACACTTATATCTTGATTTAGATATCATATATGAATCCTTGGCTATGAAAGAATATGTGACAGACTAGGGCAAAGTTATATGTGAATAAGGTTGTGCATGAGTTTATCAGGACATCTGCTATTAATAACAGCTGTAAACTTTTATCTTGACTCTCTGAGGAGATTAAACACACTCCAGCATTGTTATTAATTATCTTTATTGCTTTGGAAGGGAATGACATGCTAAATCAATAGACGATAGAGATTTGGACCATTATCCTAAATCATCCTCCAGGACAGAGTAGATTTATAGCAGCTGTTCATGTGTTTTACCACCAGGTGTCATTAATGTGCTCTGGTAGAGAATCTTCAGGTTTTAGCTGTAACTGCACTCTGAATAAGATACATTTCCATTTCACTTCTGCAGAAAGTTGATACTATATGTGTAAAAGTCTAATCCTGTTTTTTCTGTGTTTTTAAATCACAATACAATCACATTTCTGACCGTTTTCAATGGAGAGCTGTTAGAGACAGTCTCTCTGTTTGGTGAACCGTGTTGTTTTCTAATATGTGCAGTATGTTTGGACTTTGTCCTGTACTGTCATCATAAGCAGAGACATCCTGGCCAGTTAACGTGTTAA